CAACATTAATCACCTTACACACTCAACATTAATCACCTTACACACTCAACATTAATCACCTTACACACTACACACTAAGCATTAATCACCTTACACACTAAGCATTAATCACCTTACACACTAACATTAATCACCTTACACACTAACACACTACACAAACATTAATCATTAATCACCTTACACACTAAACATTAATCACCTTACACACTAAACATTAATCACCTTACACACTCAACATTAATCACCTTACACACTAAACATTAATCACCTTACACACTCAACATTAATCACCTTACACACTAAACATTAATCACCTTACACACTCAACATTAATCACCTTACACACTAAACATTAATCACCTTACACACTAAACATTAATCACCTTACACACTCAACATTAATCACCTACACACTAAACACACACCTACACACTAACATTAATCACCTTACACACTAAACATTAATCACCTTACACACTAAACATTAATCACCTTACACACTAAACATTAATCACCTTACACACTCAACATTAATCACCTTACACACTAAACATTAATCACCTTACACACTCAACATTAATCACCTTACACACTAAACATTAATCACCTTACACACTCAACATTAATCACCTTACACACTCAACATTAATCACCTTACACACTCAACATTAATCACCTTACACACTCAACATTAATCACCTTACACACTCAACATTAATCACCTTACACACTAAACATTAATCGCCTTACACACTAAACATTAATCGCCTTACACACTCAACATTAATCACCTTACACACTCAACATTAATCACCTTACACACTAAACATTAATCGCCTTACACACTAAACATTAATCGCCTTAATCAACATTAATCCTTACACACTCAACATTAATCACCTTACACACTTACACACTAAACATTAATCACCTTACACACTCAACATTAATCACCTTACACACTCAACATTAATCACCTTACACACTTAACATTAATCACCTTACACACTCAACATTAATCACCTTACACACTCAACATTAATCACTCAACATTACACACTTACACACTCAACATTAATCACCTTACACACTAAACATTAATCACCTTACACACTCAACATTAATCGCCTTACACACTAAACATTAATCACCTTACACACTCAACATTAATCACCTTACACACTCAACATTAATCACCTTACACACTCAACATTAATCACCTTACACACTAAACATTAATCACCTAACACACTTAACATTAATCACCTTACACACTCAACATTAATCACCTTACACACTTAACATTAATCACCTTACACACTCAACATTAATCACCTTACACACTCAACATTAATCACCTTACACACTCAACATTAATCACCTTACACACTAAACATTAATCGCCTTACACACTCAACATTAATCACCTTACACACTCAACATTAATCACCTTACACACTCAACATTAATCACCTTACACACTAAACATTAATCACCTTACACACTCAACATTAATCACCTTACACACTCAACATTAATCACCTTACACACTTAACATTAATCACCTTACACACTCAACATTAATCACCTTACACACTCAACATTAATCACCTTACACACTCAACATTAATCACCTTACACACTCAACATTAATCACCTTACACACTAAGCATTAATCACCTTACACACTCAACATTAATCACCTTACACACTCAACACTAATCACCTTACACACTAAGCATTAATCACCTTACACACTCAACATTAATCACCTTACACACTAAGCATTAATCACCTTACACACTAAGCATTAATCACCTTACACACTAAGCATTAATCACCTTACACACTAAGTATTAATCACCTTACACACTCAACATTAATCACCTTACACACTAAGCATTAATCACCTTACACACTCAACATTAATCACCTTACACACTAAGCATTAATCACCTTACACACTCAACATTAATCACCTAACACACTAAACATTAATCACCTTACACACTCAACATTAATCACCTTACACACTAAACATTAATCACCTTACACACTCAACATTAATCACCTAACACACTAAACATTAATCACCTAACACACTAAACATTAATCACCTTACACACTAAACATTAATCACCTTACACACTAAACATTAATCACCTTACACACTAAACATTAATCACCTTACACACTAAACATTAATCACCTTACACACTCAACATTAATCACCTTACACACTAAGCATTAATCACCTTACACACTCAACATTAATCACCTTACACACTAAGCATTAATCACCTTACACACTCAACATTAATCACCTTACACACTAAGCATTAATCACCTTACACACTCAACATTAATCACCTTACACACTAAGCATTAATCACCTTACACACTAAGCATTAATCACCTTACACACTCAACATTAATCACCTTACACACTAAGCATTAATCACCTTACACACTAAGCATTAATCACCTTACACACTCAACATTAATCACCTTACACACTCAACATTAATCACCTTACACACTAAGCATTAATCACCTTACACACTCAACATTAATCACCTTACACACTCAACATTAATCACCTTACACACTCAACATTAATCACCTTACACACTCAACATTAATCACCTTACACACTCAACATTAATCACCTTACACACTCAACATTAATCACCTTACACACTCAACATTAATCACCTTACACACTCAACATTAATCACCTTACACACTAAACATTAATCACCTTACACACTAAACATTAATCACCTTACACACTCAACATTAATCACCTTACACACTCAACATTAATCACCTTACACACTAAACATTAATCACCTTACACACTAAACATTAATCACCTTACACACTCAACATTAATCACCTTACACACTCAACATTAATCACCTTACACACTAAACATTAATCACCTTACACACTCAACATTAATCACCTTACACACTCAACATTAATCACCTTACGAACGAAATAAAATATTCGCGGGATAGAAAAATTATCAAGAAATTAATATACTTTGAAAATTATTTAAATCACCATAAAGATGACAGTCACGGCTGCTTAACAAGGCTACTTTAAGACTGTGAATCACGGAGGTTATTTTGAGACGATTTCGGGGCTTTAGTGTCCCCGCGGCCCGGTCTCCACTCCCAGGAAGCAGCCCACGAAGATCATAATTACAATAGAACTCAAACAGGATCAGGTAAATAAATCCATTCCAGGGGAGCTATCAGGAGAAAGCGCCAAGCCATTACGACTATATAGCACTTGGAAGGGGTCAGGATAAGGATTTGGGATGGGACGGATGGAAGGAATGGTGCCCAATCACTTGGATGGTCAGGGATTGAACGCCGACTAGCATGAAGACTTTTTAGGGCAACTACTTGAGAAATATATTATGTTTTTCAATATATCTGGTATGCTGTGGAGTATGTCTGCTGTCCCATATGTATCTTATGTTTATAAATTGAGATTCTAAAGGATAATTTAAACAAGTGTGAAGGTGTTGGAAGAGGGTGTTGGGATATGGGAAAAGGTGTGGTGATGGATCTGGTTGTATGGGTCAGGGTGTAGAGATGTTGGGAAGGATATAGTGGTGTGGTGGAGGGTGTGGTAGAATGGTGTGGTAGAATGGTGTGGAACTCACTAACCACAGACCTTTTCCTGTTCATAATCATGCTTCTAAACTCTGATTGCTTCCCAAGTCTCCCACACACACACACACACATGCATTCTCTCTCACACCCCTCTCTCTCTCACTCCCATGCATTCTCTCTCTCTCACCCTCCCTCCTTCCCTCACTTCCACGCACCCTCTTCCACATCACTCTTACACCCCCTTTTCCCATACAACCCTCTTGCACACACACACCCCTCACGCAATCACCCCATTCCACAAACCCCTCCTACATCCCCTCTCCAACACACCACTCTCCCACACTCTCCCACCACACACCCAAAGAACATATCATAACCCAACAATAGCGCCCACAAAAAACATTAATACACACACCATGATATGTATAATCATACAAACCCACGAAGCATACAAGTAGACCACATAAGCTCCACATACAACATTATATATACACACACCACTATACCCCCGGCCAGTATAGCTGCGCCTCGCCGCCAGAAGACTTTCATGGAATCGAAAATAAAGCGACCATCATACGGAATAAAATGGAAATAGGACTCACTCCGAGGTTGTGGAACGCCGCATTTTATTGCTGCTTATTATGCTGTCTTTTTCAAATTGATTCAATGTGTTTTCAGAACGTTGGGAGAGAGAGGGAAAAGAGTGGCTTACACGTGCCATTCTCTACGTGGGTGACGTGCCCACGTGCCCACACCTGCCTCACGTACCCACCACTGTGGGCACCGAGGCAGATCTAGAAATGTGTCTTATTGCATCAATTATGATAATTGAAGATGCGGGGGGAGCTTCAAGAGGGCGCCGCCCCCGAAGCTGTGAACTAAACGGTGGACAAAGTTGCCCAATGTTGAGCGCCCCGAACTTGTACGGATATGACATATTCAGATGAAGTTGGTGCGCCCAAAATGTAATTTGCTTCGGGATTTGCAATATCGAATGTCATTGGGACAGTATGTAAATTATGAACGTTTTCAAGAGAGGATATATATATATATCAAGTGTTTAGCAAAATATTTCGTCTAAATTCTCCTGGTCAGTCCGGAATCGAGTCGGATTGGCTCCGGTGAAGAGATAGGACCGTCTAGGGTCACTTACCCCTGGAGAAGAAAAGGTCAGGTCACGGAGACGAGACTATAAGTGACTCGAGCGATGCTCAGGCGATTGCATACACCACTGAAACAAAGAGACGAGCGAACGAACGCCAGGCAAAAGAGGACTCGGACGGGAGAAAAGCACCACCTCGCCACCACCGCTGCTCGGTTCACTTTGGAATGGAACCAGGAATTCATTTTGTTATATTTGTTTTGCATTACTTGGGCGGCTGAGTGTCGCGGCGGCTCAAAGAACTTTAATAGAACAGATGGAAATTTTGTGTGTTCTCCACTATTCTTGGTGACCCCTGATGGTCTCTCACTATTCTTGGTGACCCCTGATGGTCTCTCACTATTCTTGGTGACCCCTGATGGTCTCTCACTATTCTTGGTGACCCCTGATGGTCTCTCACTATTCTTGGTGACCCCTGATGGTCTCTCACTATTCTTGGTGACCCCTGATGGTCTCTCACTATTCTTGGTGACCCCTGATGGTCTCTCACTATTCTTGGTGACCCCTGATGGTCTCTCACTATTCTTGGTGACCCCTGATGGTCTCTCACTATTCTTGGTGACCCCTGATGGTCTCTCACTATTCTTGGTGACCCCTGATGGTCTCTCACTATTCTTGGTGACCCCTGATGGTCTTCCACTATTCTTGGTGACCCCTGATGGTCTTCCACTATTCTTGCTGACCCCTGATGGTCTCTCACTATTCTTGGTGACCCCTGATGGTCTCTCACTATTCTTGGTGACCCCTGATGGTCTCTCACTATTCTTGGTGACCCCTGATGGTCTCTCACTATTCTTGGTGACCCCTGATGGTCTCTCACTATTCTTGGTGACCCCTGATGGTCTCCCACTATTCTTGGTGACCCCTGATGGTCTCCCACTATTCTTGGTGACCCCTGATGGTCTCTCACTATTCTTGGTGACCCCTGATGGTCTTCCACTATTCTTGGTGACCCCTGATGGTCTTCCACTATTCTTGGTGACCCCTGATGGTCTTCCACTATTCTTGGTGACCCCTGATGGTCTTCCACTATTCTTGGTGACCCCTGATGGTCTTCCACTATTCTTGCTGACCCCTGATGGTCTCCCACTTATCTTGGTGACCCCTGATGGTCTCTCACTGTTCTTGGTGACCCCTGATGGTCTTCCACTGTTATTGGTGACCCCTGATGGTCTTCCACTATTCTTGCTGACCCCTGATGGTCTCTCACTATTCTTGCTGACCCCTGATGTTCTCTCACTATTCTTGGTGACCCCTGATGGTCTTCCACTGTTCTTGGTGATCCCTGATGGTCTGAAACTATTCTTGGTGACCCCTGATGGTCTACCAATATTCTTGCTGACCCCTGATGGTCTTCCACTATTCTTGCTGACCCCTGATGGTCTACCACTATTCTTGCTGACCCCTGATGGTCTACCAATATTCTTGCTGACCCCTGATGGTCTCCCACTATTCTTGCTGACCCCTGATGGTCTTCCACTATTCTTGCTGACCCCTGATGGTCTCCCACTATTCTTGCTGACCTGGATGGTCTCCCACTATTCTTGCTGACATCTGATGGTCTCCCACTATTCTTGCTGACCCCTGATGATCTCCCACTATTCTTGCTGACCTGGATGGTCTCCCACTATTCTTGGTGACCCCTGATGGTCTTCCACTATTCTTGCTGACCCCTGATGGTCTCCCACTTATCTTGGTGACCCCTGATGGTCTCTCACTATTCTTGGTGACCCCTGATGGTCTACCACTATTCTTGTTGACCCCGATGGTCTACCACTATTCTTGGTGACCCCTGATGGTCTTCCACTATTCTTGCTGACCCCTGATGGTCTACCACTATTCTTGCTGACCCCTGATGGTCTACCACTATTCTTGGTGACCCCTGATGGTCTTCCACTATTCTTGCTGACCCCTGATGGTCTTCCACTATTCTTGTTGACCCCTGATGGTCTACCAATATTCTTGGTGACCCCTGATGGTCTTCCACTATTCTTGCTGACCTGGATGGTCTCCCACTATTCTTGCTGACCCCTGATGGTCTACCAATATTCTTGGTGACCCCTGATGGTCTCCCACTATTCTTGCTGACCCCTGATGGTCTACCACTATTCTTGCGGAGATCAGCCACGCTGGTAATCAGATACAGAGGCGGGACCAAAGAGCCAGAGCTCAACCCCCGCAAGCACAACTAGGTGAGTACATACACACACACACACACGGGGCCTCGCGGCCGAGTAAACAGCGCTCGGGGGTCGTAGTCCTTAGGGCCCGGGTTCAATTCCTGGCCGAGGCAGAAACAAATTGGCAGTTTCTTTCACCCTGATGCCCCTATTCACCTAGCAGTAAATAGGTACCTCGGAGTTAGACAGCTGTTACGGGCTGCTTTCTGTGTGTGTGTGTGTGTGTGTGTACTCACCTAGTTGTACTCCCCTAGTTGTGTTTGCGGGGGTTGAGCTCTGGCTCTTTGGTCCCGCCTCTCAACCGTCAATCAACAGGTGTACAGATTCCTGAGCCTATCGGGCTCTACACTTGATCTACACTTGAAACTGTGTATGGAGTCAGCCTCCACCACATCACTTCCTAATGCATTCCATTTGTCAACCACTCTGACACTAAAAAAGTTCTTTCTAATATCTCTGTGGCTCATTTGGGCACTCAGTTTCCACCTGTGTCCCCTTGTGCGTGTGCCCCTTGTGTTAAATAGACTGTCTTTATCTACCCTATCAATTCCCTTCAGAATCTTGAATGTGGTGATCATGTCCCCCCTAACTCTTCTGTCTTCCAGCGAAGTGAGGTTTAATTCCCGTAGTCTCTCCTCGTAGCTCATACCTCTCAGCTCGGGTACTAGTCTGGTGTGTGTGTGTGTGTGTGTGTGTGTGTGTGTGTGTGTGTGTGTGTGTGTGTGTGTGTGTGTGTGTGTGTGTGTGTATGTGCGTAGGTTAGAAATATACGTAGTAGATATAATACAGGAAAAATAGACTGGTTACAAAGGCGGGGTCCAAGAGCTAAAAGCTCGATTCTGCTGGCCCAAATAATAAATACAAATAGTAAAAACATACACTGGTGCATGTATGAACATACACACACACACACACACACACACACTCACACACACACACACACACACACACACACACACACACACACACACACACACACACACACGATGGTTGAGAGGCGGGACCAAAGAGCCAGAGCTCAACCCCCGCAAACACAACTAGGTGAGTACAACTAGGTGAGTACACACACACACACACACACACACACACACACACACACACACACAACTTTACTGCCACAACAATCAACAAATACAAGAGAAAAAAACAAGAGTGAGAACACAAACAAAACAAATAAACAGGCAACAGACAGCGTCACCAAGCTAAAAGCTGAACAATTATTGGCACAGCGGCTTGTCAGCAGCTCTTGCGGCCATCGGCTTGTCAGCAGCTCTTGCGGCCATCGGCTTTTAGAGTCAGCAGCTCTTGCGGTCATTGGCTTTTAGAGTCAGCAGCTCTTGCGGTCATTGGCTTTTAGAGTCAGCAGCTCTTGCGGTCATTGGCTGTTAGAGTCAGCAGCTCTTGCGGTCATTGGCTGTTAAGAGTCAGTAGCTCTTGCGGTCATCGGCTTTAAGAGTCAGCAGCTCTTGCGGTCATTGGCTGTTAAGAGTCAGTAGCTCTTGCGGTCATCGGCTTTAAGAGTCAGCAGCTCTTGCGGTCATTGGCTGTTAAGAGTCAGTAGCTCTTGCGGTCATCGGCTTTTAGAGTCAGCAGCTCTTGCGGTCATTGGCTGTTAGAGTCAGCAGCTCTTGCGGTCATTGGCTGTTAGAGTCAGCAGCTCTTGCGGTCATTGGCTGTTAGAGTCAGCAGCTCTTGCGGTCATTGGCTGTTAAAGTCAGCGGCTCTTGCGGTCACTGGCTCTTAAGAGTCAGCGGCTCTTGCGGTCATCGGCAGTTAAGAGTCAGCGGCTCTTGCGGTCACAACACACAACAAACAGATACACCCGATTGACAAACTACAACCAAGAGACAAGTACACCCATTTGGCATAGACACCCGATTGACAAACTACAACCATCTGCCAACTACGCTCAATTGAAGACAGGTTGGCTAATACAGAAGTATAAGAAATACATACATAGCACAAATACAGAGCTACAAGAAGCACAAGATATACATAAGTACGGTCAAACTTAAAGGATCCACATAACCTCCTGCAGCCGCACAGCATAAATTTCCAGGGGGCGAGTCCCATGGACATTTGATAATATTCTAGACTTGGATTTCCAGGGGTCCAGCTTCCAGGGGTCCAGCTTCCAGGAGGCTAGCTTCTAGGAGGCTAGCTTCTAGGAGGCCAGCTTCCAGGGGTCCAGCTTCCAGGGGTCCAGCTTCCAGGGGTCCAGCTTCCAGGGGGCCAGCTTCCAGGAGGCTAGCTTCTAGGAGGCCAGCTTCCAGGGGGCCAGCTTCCTGGAGTCCAGCTTCCAGGGGGCCAGCTTCCAGGAGGCCAGTTTCCAGAGGTTCAGCTTCTTGGAGGCCAGCTTCCAGGGGTCCAGCTTCCAGGAGGTCAGCTTCCTGGAGGCCAGCTCCCAGAGGTCCAGCTTCCAGGAGGCCAGCTTCCAGGAGTCCAGCTTCCAGGAGGCCAGCTTCCAGAGGTCCAACTTCCAGGATGAAGGCTAAACATCGAAAAGTCAAGACCAGCAATCAACAGCCAGTTAACACATAATTACATTCTACCCACTTCAAGACCCCGAACCAACACAAAGACAGTAGAAGCAAGAACATAGGTTCTTAATAATGACCTATTATTATCCATTATGTATCCTCCACTTGATCATCTCAATCACGTCCTGTACCACCTCACCCCAAGAGAATATAAGCTCTTGCTAAAGCACTGTAAATTTGTCTTTGAAGATGTAAGGAGTGACCTGTAGCCACGTGTCACAGGTAACGGTAACCCAACCTGATCCTGGCAACCACTGTGTCGCACAGTCTGGTTCGTGCTGTCCATATTCATAGGCTTCAAATCTAAACAAACTGTAGCTTTTTATATTAATGCTTTCAGGCCTTTGGGAGTCAGTAATTTCTTTTATATTAGACCCGAGTGTTTGGAACAATACAGTCTTGACAACAGAGATGGGGATACTTAGGTCTAATTCAACTTCATCCTTGTTAAACGCTCATTTGGCTGCAATGATTGTGTGCTAATGATGGGTTATATTTATGAGAGGTCCAGCTTCATGGGACTCTAAACCCTTCATGTAGATTTTTTCTTTTAACATATTTAGGTAAATATGTATTTGTGCTAACTTAGATTATATGAAAGGGAGTACAGAGTGTGTCAAGAACTAGCTACGTAATGCTAAAAATTCCCATAACACAGGATGGTTAGTCCTACAGAGGCATGTGATCAGTAGTCTGCACTGACAAACTGTCGATGTTTTACGAGAATAATATAAAAAACACAAGAACAAATAACGTAGCAGTGATATTAGAAATAAATCTCCATCTTGCAAAGGCTGGTTAGCCACACGTGAAACTCTACGGACTTTGGTCTCCTATTTACACTATCTCTGAGATTTATGTTGAATATCGGTGTTCCAGAGGTGAGCAAAGGCACTAACCTTCTTGGCATCGTACAGTTGGCGGGAACTATGTGGCCTCAAGGACTTACCTGTCTGGAGGTACCTGGAAGACCCTGCAAAAAAAAAAACATTCCTATTAAACCCAATTCCTACCCGCCAAACACACACTGAAACTACGACGTTGGTACAACGTTCGAACAAGTATGACCACCTCCTAACCAGTTATAACAACCAATATAACAAGTTGTAACAACGTTCTAATACGTCATAAACACGTTAAGCCAAGATGTAACAACTTTATTACAAGTTGTTACAAGCGGAAAATAGAGACAGTTTTGGTTTGTGTTTCCAGGGTGGTGTCTTAACCCCCTTACTAAGACCTCAGGGAGTCGATCCTGTTCTTGGTGCTACGTGTAGAGGACAGGACAATCCTTCAGATCACACATCTTGAGGTTATCTTGAGATGATTTCGGGGCTTTAGTGTCCCCGCGGCCCGGTCCTCGACCAGGCCTCCACCCCCAGGAAGCAGCCCGTGACAGCTGATTAACACCCAGGTACCTATTTTACTGCTAGGTAACAGGGGGCATAGGGTGAATGAAACTCTGCCCATTGTTTCTCGCCGGCGCCCGGGATCGAACCGGGGACCACAGGATCACAAGTCCAGCGTGCTGTCCGCTCGGCCGACCGGCTCCCCTGTGGGAACATCACTTCAGTCGCAACAAAATAATTTCGGGGCAAAAGGAAGTGGCTTGGGCCGGGGGGTTCCGGTGAAGCTCTCCCGGTGGATTAAATATAGAGTTCCTGGTTGCTTATCCTTTATCCAATCATCGCAGTGGATTATATGCATCCATATAATCCACCATTTTTAATCCATCATCCACCACCACCATTGAAGAAACAGCAAATGTGTCCCAGAGTGGATTAATAAGAGACCCAACGTGATGCTAGACCTTCTTAAGCTGTATGTGTCCAGGATGGTGGGGGGAGATACAGCGGCATGTATCCAGGATGGGGGGGAGATACAGCGGCATGTATCCAGGATGGGGGGGAGATACAGCGGCATGTATCCAGGATGGGGGGGAGATACAGCGGCATGTATCCAGGATGGGGGGAGATACAGCGGCATGTATCCAGGATGGGGGGGAGATACAGCGGCATGTATCCAGGATGGTGGGGGGAGATACAGCGGCATGTATCCAGGATGGTGGGGGGAAATACAGCGGCATGTATCCAGGATGGTGGGGGAGATACAGCAACATGTATCCAGGGTGGTGGGGGAGATACAGCGACATGTATCTAGGATGATGGGGAAGATACAGCGACATGTATCTAGGATGATGGGGAAGATACAGCGACATGTATCCACGATAGTGGGGAAGATACAGCGACATGTATCCAGGATGGTGGGGAAGATACAGCGCCATGTATCCACGATAGTGGGCAGGAAACAGCGGCATGTATCCACGATAGTGGAGAAGATACAGCGGCATGTATCCACGATAGTGGGGCAGGAAACAGCGACATGTATCCACGATAGTGGGGCAGGAAACAGCGACATGTATCCACGATAGTGGGCAGGAAACAGCGGCATCCGGTAAAGCGACTCCTAACAGCCATTTCGCCTAATCCAATAAATGAAGCTTAAATCAGATAAGAATGTGGAAACAAGAAAGCAATGACGGAACACAGGAAGAGAGAAGCAAGAAAATCAAGATAGGGAGAACATGGATGATAAATCTAGAAGAGGAAGAACAGGAGAAAGTAGAACAGTAAGTATGACCTGGTCGAGGACTGGGCCGCGGGGACACTAAAGCCCCGAAATCATCTCAAGATGAGAGAAGAAATGCAGCCCGCTGTAGGAGAAAATAAAGATCGAAAGAACAGGATAAAAATAAAGGGATGAACAAATCAGAACAACAGAACTCATGAACAAGGAAGATATGGGATGGGACACCCATGTTCTTTCAGGTCATTTCCAAGGTTAAATGCTAAGCTATTAAGGCTATATAGCAAATGCATTATTATTTTACTATTCACGATGAAAGCAAGCGTTGTAAATTAACCAGACCACACACTAGAAGGTGAAGGGACGACGACGTTTCGACTTGAGAATGGTCCAGGACGGACCGAAACGTCGTCGTCCCTTCACCTTCTAGTGTGTGTGGTCTGGTCAACATACTTTAGCCACGTTATTGTGACTCATCGCCTGCAAGCGTTGTAAAAATTATATTTAGCTATCAATCAACAAATACAAATATGGAGAAACTTACTACCATCTAGAGGTTATCTTGAGATGATTTCGGGGCTTTAGTGTCCCCGCGGCCCGGTCCTCGACCAGGCCTCTACCCCCAGGAAGCAGCCCATTACAGCTGACTAACACCCAGGTACCTATTTTACTGCTAGGTAATAGGGGCATAGGGTGAAAGAAACTCTGCCCATTGTTTCTCGCCGGCGCCTGGGATCGAACCCGGGACTACAGGATCACAAGTCCAGTGTGCTGTCCGCTCGGCCGACCGGCTCCCTGTCAAGCACCATGCCCTAGTGCTTGAATGAAGGTGAATTAGAGACTCAATATATGTATATATTAAGTCTCTCTCAACCTTACTCTTCACCCTTCAAACCCTCATTCTATACATATTTGTATTTGTATGTACCTGACTTACCTAATGGAATAAATCCAATATGCCAAGTATTGTCACATTATACGGCCCTTATAGCCGTATAATGGCCGTATAATGGTTATGGTGAGCCCTTTACGGACTCATCATAACTCGTGCTACATCATAATCATATCATAATTTGTACATTTTTAATTGTGTGTTAAGAAAAATGTGGGAAACTCATTGTTTTAAACTACCAGCAATTTGAGAGTTGGGCGTTTGGGTATGAGACTCAATCCTGGATTCTCCTGGATTGGATTGTTGGAGAATCCAATCTTGATGTACTCGCACTAGTTGAGTACATCAGGGAGAGTACATGTAGACGAGTACATCTAGACGAGTACATCAGGGAGAGTACATCTAGACGAGTACATCTACACGAGTACATCTAAACGAGTACATCAGAGTACATCAGAGAGAGTACATCAGAGAGAGTACATCTACACAAGTACATCAAGGAGAGTACATCTAGACGAGTACATCAAGGAGAGCACATCTAAGAGAGTCCACCCGCGTGCAAGCTCAAGGCCCCAAGAACGACGAGAAAGAAAACGGGACCATCACCAGACTCCAAGCCAAAAGTGACGTCACGAAGACCAGCACAGAGGAAAAACTGGAAGAAAAAACGGAAAACAAAGAAGAGGAAAGTGTGTGTGGGTCCAAAAAAGTGCTTCAAGTGGCCGTAAGTTCGAGTTTAGGAGGAAGTAACCCGGTTTGACCCCCCCTAACCCCCCCTTGCACCGACCCTGTCTGCCAAGGAAACCGGGCCTCCTCCTCCTCCTTGCTTCAAGACTCGGCCCCAGACACGATTCAATTAACCCTCATTCGATTTCGTGGATTTAGACAGATGGTAGTTTGCCCTCTCGCAATCACCCTCGTTTAGGGCTCTAGAAGAAATTAGAACAGAGACAGATGTTTATGGCTGTGTTTTGTCATGTTATCGCAATCGGGGGTACTAGTTTCTGCTATCTTATTACTGTGTGTTCCCATGTTATCGCTATCGCAAGTCCTAGTCACTGTTATCTTATGGCTGTGTGTTGCCATGTTATCGCGAGTCCCAGTCTCTGCTATCATATGGCTGTGTTTTACCATGTTATCGCGATTGGAAGTCCCAGTCACTGCTATCTTATGGTTGTGTGTTGCCATGTTATCGTGATCGTCGACCGGAGTCTGAGTGATGCTTATATCACTGTTGTTCGTGAAGATGCTGGGGAAGCATCGCGCGGAGATGTGTTTTTCATCTTGTTTATCCGGCTCCCAGACGGCATCTTGTCCCCCATCTTACAGCCCCATCTTACAGCCCCATCTTACAGCCCCATCTTACAGCCCCATCTTACAGCCCCATCTTACAGCTTTACCCACGCTGCTGTCCTCCTCAGGGTGATGCTGTGGCCTCGTCGGTACAGCAGCGATCTTGCAGCTTGCTGAGTCGTGAGATGTGCTTCCAGGATTGAGTCTCATGCCCAAACGCCCAACTCTCAATTTGGTGGTAGTTTAAAGCAATGAGTTTCGACATTTTTTGCTGAACACGGAGTTTAAAATGTACAAATTCTTGGAGAGTCGTCGTTCGATTCCCCAATATGCCAAGCGCTATAGGGGGTTTCAAGTTATAGTCATAGTGGTTTAGCACGTTCTCCTGATAATTACCCTCCGTAGCTTCTTGGGGGTTATCTTGAGGTGATTTGGTGGTGGGTTATCTTGATTTGGTTATCTTGATTTGATATAGCTCTATAGCTCATAGCTATAGAGCTATATCAGCAGGTGTAGTGATAGTGAATACCTGTGAGCATAAGTATGTGCAGCGACGGTTTCCCTTAGAAGTAATTATCAAAAGAAGGCGTCAAGATTTCTCATAGTATCTTGTACGTTGTTATCATGTCTCTACTCCTGTTCTTTAGGGTAATGAGCTTTTCTACTTTGTGTATTTCACTCTTGCAGTGAGACCAGCCTCGTTGCAAGACCAGTCTTATTGCAATACTAGACTTGTTTCAAGACCAGTCTTATTGCAATACTAGACTTGTTTCAAGACCAGTCTTATTGCAATACTAGACTTGTTTCAAGACCAGTCTTATTGCAATACTAGACTTGTTTCAAGACCAGTCTTATTGCAATACTAGACTTGTTTCAAGACCAGTCTTATTGCAATACTAGACTTGTTTCAAGACCAGTCTTATTGCAATACTAGACTTGTTTCAAGACCAGTCTTATTGCAATACTAGACTTGTTTCAAGACCAGTCTTATTGCAATACTAGACTTGTTTCAAGACCAGTCTTATTGCAATACTAGACTTGTTTCAAGACCAGTCTTATTGCAATACTAGACTTGTTTCAAGACCAGTCTTATTGCAATACTAGACTTGTTTCAAGACCAGTCTTATTGCAATACTAGACTTGTTTCAAGACCAGTCTTATTGCAATACTAGACTTGTTTCAAGACCAGTCTTATTGCAATACTAGACTTGTTTCAAGACCAGTCTTATTGCAATACTAGACTTGTTTCAAGACCAGTCTTATTGCAATACTAGACTTGTTTCAAGACCAGTCTTATTGCAATACTAGACTTGTTTCAAGACCAGTCTTATTGCAATACTAGACTTGTTTCAAGACCAGTCTTATTGCAATACTAGACTTGTTTCAAGACCAGTCTTATTGCAATACTAGACTTGTTTCAAGACCAGTCTTATTGCAATACTAGACTTGTTTCAAGACCAGTCTTATTGCAATACTAGACTTGTTTCAAGACCAGTCTTATTGCAATACTAGACTTGTTTCAAGACCAGTCTTATTGCAATACTAGACTTGTTTCAAGACCAGTCTTATTGCAATACTAGACTTGTTTCAAGACCAGTCTTATTGCAATACTAGACTTGTTTCAAGACCAGTCTTATTGCAATACTAGACTTGTTTCAAGACCAGTCTTATTGCAATACTAGACTTGTTTCAAGACCAGTCTTATTGCAATACTAGACTTGTTTCAAGACCAGTCTTATTGCAATACTAGACTTGTTTCAAGACCAGTCTTATTGCAATACTAGACTTGTTTCAAGACCAGTCTTATTGCAATACTAGACTTGTTTCAAGACCAGTCTTATTGCAATACTAGACTTGTTTCAAGACCAGTCTTATTGCAATACTAGACTTGTTTCAAGACCAGTCTTATTGCAATACTAGACTTGTTTCAAGACCAGTCTTATTGCAATACTAGACTTGTTTCAAGACCAGTCTTATTGCAATACTAGACTTGTTTCAAGACCAGTCTTATTGCAATACTAGACTTGTTTCAAGACCAGTCTTATTGCAATACTAGACTTGTTTCAAGACCAGTCTTATTGCAATACTAGACTGCTTGTAAGACTAGATTTATTGCAAAACTATAGTTGTTTTCCTTTTTCTTTTCTTAAATTTCATGTCTTGCATTACAAAGGTTTTCTTGTTCGTGCAAATGTCTTCATCTTCAGAATGGTGTTTGTTTACACAGTCCGTCAAGTGTGTTATTGGTCAGACACGGCGGTCACTGGCACTCTTCAACCTGGTTACCTTATGTACGACACCCCCTTAACCTCTCTCTGTCTCTGTCTCTCTTTGTCTCTCTCTCTCTGTCTCTCTCTCTCTCTCTCTCTCTCTCTCTCTCTCTCTCTCTCTCTCTCTCTCTCTCTCTCTCTCTCTCTCTCTCTCTCTCTCTCTCTCTCTCTCTCTCTCTCTCTCTCTCTCACTCTCTCTCTCCCTTTCTTTTACCACATCTTCCTCCAATTCTCCCCAACCCTCTCCTCCTTCCCACCTTATTTCCCCTTTCACCCCCTCTTTCAACTCTCCCTTACACCCTACCCTATTCCATCCGCTTCTTTCACCACTTACCCTTCTCTTATACCTTTACCCCACCCCCCCTAACCCTGCATCACCCCCCAATCATCCCCTTACAACACCCCTCCCTAAAAAACACCTCACCCTCCCCCTCTCTACACCCCCCTCCCTATCACCCTCCCCCTCTCCACACCCCCCTCCCTATCACCCTCCCCCCTCACCACACCCCCCCCCTCACCCCCTCCCTCTTGCCTATGCTTCTCTCATCATGATAAAATATTAGCCTCGTGATGCGCATAATATTATTCCGCTACAACAAGGGGCATCATCATTGTTGCATCGGAAGTGGCGTGTTAGCGTGTAAGGGGGGGCGGTGGGTGTGGGCGTGATGAGTGGGCGGCGTGGGTGGGATGGGCGGGATGAGTGGGTGGGCGGGCGTGATGAGTACACCTACCTTCCATCGGGGTTGATGAGAAGTATAGCGGGATACATGATAGTCTACCTTGTTGCACGGCTCGTGGCGTGCAATGGAGAGGAGGAGGAGGAGGAGGAAGAGGGGAGAAGAAGTAGGAGGAGGAAAAGGGGAGAAGGAGGAGGAGGAGGAAGAGGGGTAGAAGAGGGAGGAGGGGGGAAGAGGGGGAGGAGGAGGTATACTTAACTATCATTGTCTATGAGGACGTGAAGTCATCTAATATGCCCCCCCCCACTAGCCTTATACCTGTTGCATTACAAGTTAACTACTCTGTCTGTCTTTCAAATTCTCTGTCCAATCGGTTGTAAAATGGACCTTCACAATATCCTACTTTAGAGTATTCCACTTGTTAACTACCCTTACAGGGTACAAGTACTTTCTTAAGTCCCTTCGGCTCATCTGCGTTTCCAGCTTCCACCTGTGTCCTATTGTTCTGCTTTCTCTCAGTTTGTATAGGCTATCCTGGTCCATGTTGTCTATTTCCCTTGGTATCTTGTATGTTGTGATCATATCCTCTCTGTTCTTTCTATCCTCTTGGGTTTGTGAGAGTTAATTTCATTAGCCGGTCTTTGTAGCTTAACCCTCTTAGCTCTGGCACCAATCTTGTTGAAAATCTTTGTATTATTATATTGTGAGTTTGTGCTTCACAAGGTGAATATTCGAGCATGCTGGTGATGGGTATTCCAGTACTGGTCTAAACAATGTAGATTGCCACAATCGACTTGAGAATGGTCCAGGACGGACCGAAACGTCGTCGTCCCTTCACTTTCTAGTGTGTGGTTTGGTCAACATGCCTTAAAGGAACCCGGTCGGCCGAGCGGACAGCACGCTGGACTTGTGATCCTGTGGTCCCGGGTTCGATCCCGGGCGCCGGCGAGAAACAATGGGTAGAGTTTCTATCACCCTATGCCCCTGTTACCTAGCAGTAAAATAGATACCTGGGTGTTAGTCAGCTGTCACGGGCTGCTTCCTGGGGGGTGGAGGCCTGGTCAAGGACCGGACCGCGGGGACACTAAAGCCCCGAAATCATCTCAAGATAACCTCAAGATAACCCAGATTCAGGTTTCAAAACGATGTTTTTATATTTGCCAGCGTCACATATGCTGATGTTATCCTGTTTATGTGTGTCTCTGGTGTTATTGTGGGCATTATATTCACTCCCAGATCCTTCTTTCTTTCTGATGCCTGTAGCTGCCTTCCCCTTGTGGTGCAGACGCCTTCTGGTCTCCTCTCTCTCCACCTTTCCCATCCTCATTACCTTACACTTGTCGGGATTGAATTCTATCAGCCATTTGTTTGACCACAACTGGAGTTTGACAAGATCCTCCTGTAACTTCCTGCAATCTTCATCTGTTTGCACGGTCCTCATCACCTTTGCTTTGTCTGCAACCATTGACATGTCCGAGTTCTCTCCCCTCGGGCAGGTCGTTCACATGAATCAGGAACAGCATTGAGGAGGATGGAAAGACGAGAGAGGGGAAAAATGGGAAGAGATTTTGTGGAAGGGGGAGAGGGAAGGGGGAGAGGGAAGGGGGAGAGGGAAGGGGGAGAGGGAAGGGGGAGAGGGAAGGGGGAGAGGGAAGGGGGAGAGGGAAGGGGAGAGGAAAGGGGGAGAGGGAAGGGGGGAGAGGGAAGGGTGGACGATCTAACCCCAGCATCTAGCCTCCTCCCCCCTTCTACAGACAGACAGACAGACATTATTATTTATATATAATAGCACATAAATACACTGTACTATTAACCCAATGTGTTATCATTTAGGCCAAGAATACAACACAATATACAACCTGAGTGCCACCACAGTTGCTCTGAACACAATGCAATCACAGCTTGTAATAGTGAAACGTCATGCGCAATGTCCCTAGACTTTTATACACCCCGCTGACTTCCAGATATCTCCCAATCCTGAGCACTCCAGTTGCAAACTCTGTGAGCAGGAACTACGGCATGATCTCCCACACTACATCACTGAATGCCCAGTTATTAGACCTTTCAGACCCGTTGGCATGAGGTACCTGGAACTTTGCAATTACTTTATTCACTCTCGTGTTCTTGAAGATATCCTCACAGTGTACTCAAAATTTGCCAGTGCAGGTTACTAAACACATGGCTCTGTATGACTAACCATCCTGCGAGATGGGGACTTGTATTATCACTGCTGCCTTATTCAATCTTGTGTTGATGATAT